GAGACACAGCTCCACTCCCCAGCTGCCAGTACATCACTTGGGGAAGGGGTGGGACTACCCCCTCTGTCACACATCAGCAGGACGTGGAGCGATGCAGCTGAGGAGTGCAGCTTTCCACTGCCACCACTGCTGTGGGTGCCAAGCCTCTGCTAGTCCCTCGGGCAGCATTGCTGAGGAAGAGGCAGGTCAGGGGTGGGGCCTGGGGTGTTAGCCTGGCCCTCTCCCAGGTGGCATGGGAAGGAGTCTTGCAGGGAGGCAAGCCTTCTTGCAAGGAGGAATAGTCAAAGTGCACATTGGGGGACAAGGTGGGTGAGGTAATGTGTATATCTTACAATGGAGCAATTTTTGTTGGTGAGAGAGAACATTTTTGAGCTACACAGAGCTCTTCTTCAGGTCTGGGAAAGGTATTCTCAGCATCACAGCTAAATGCAAAGTGGAACAGACTGTTTATCCTAAGAAGTTAGCACTTATTCTAAAGGGCTCATTCATGGTACAGTGGTCCCCTAATACCTCTGCAGTGATAGGACACAAAGGGAGAGTTACAGATTTGTTTGTTTGTTTATTTTTTTAAAATATTTTTACCCTGCCTCTCTACTTAAAATATTCGAGGCAGCTTACAAAAATTTTAAAAATACAATAAATAAATATATATAAAGTAGAAGAACCCTAAAATGGGGGGACATAAAACCTGCTAAAACACCTCAAGAGGAGGGGGACACACACACAGAACCCAGACTCAACAAACTGTGGCGAGAGCTACTCGCCAGCCCTGCATGTGCCAGAACGGCACTGCGCATGCGCACAGCACCAGTGATTGGGGCGTACGGAGCGACAGGCTGAAATCTACTCACCATGGGCGAGTAGAAACAGCGGTTTGTCGAGCCCTGCACATAACTAAACACTAAGAAAAGCACAGGTTGTTATAATGAACCATAAATCTACTGTCCCTGTTTTGTACATGCTATTTAATGTCTAGCAAAAGAATGAACATAATCTCCAAGGTTCATCTTTTGAAAGTGTTGTGCAGGTTTCCATTGAACATAAGGATGGATAGGTAAGATAAGAACAATTGTTTTATGAAAAGTGCTCAACCACAGGTGATGTGGCATTTTGTCTTTTATCGATTTCCTGTGTGAGTTTATTCCAGGGCAAAGTGTCTGGTTTCACGCACACAGTTGTTACTGGGGCATTTAGGGCACTGGATGAGGTACTCTGTCATTTGCGATAAGGATGTGTCAGATCTATGGATCTTGAAAGGCATGCTGAGGGGGAAGGAAGGAGGAGTTGATCAGTGTAGATATGGCTGAAAGTTTTGCATCTGTATCTCTAGTGAACACAGCAAACCCCACATGACTTGCAGCTGGATTTGCTGGTGACCCTGTCCCCTAGCTTGGGCTTTTAATATAAAAGCATAGAAGTGTAGGACTGGAAGGTGCCTCGGTAGGCCATCTAGTCCAGTGTTTCTCAACCAGTGGTACGAGTATGCTTAGGGGTACTTGAGAGAAGTCTGGGGGATACATCAACACAACTGAAATTTGGAGAAAACTGAATTTTTGTTTTAAATTTTACCGCGTTTTATTATTTTTGTACTTTTTACACTAAAAAATTTCATCGCCCGCCCAGCTACCATTAAGTTGTTTAAACAAATGTGTTGCAATGGTAGAAATTTTTTTTGTGTGTCTGAAAACTGTAGGTACTAGGGGGTCTGTATACATTTTTTTTTTTTAAAAAGAGGTACTCACTGATCTAGTCCACACCCTGCCACTCATGGCAGGCTATAGTTAAATATACTCCCCACCACCACACACACACACACACACATAGACACATTTAACCAGATAAGGCCTACTAGGGGCTGGGGACAGGTTCTGCTGGGCTGGGCAGATCACTAGTGTGAAAAACTGGAGTGGGGGTAAGAGGAGCCTGGGGAGGACGAAGCCCTGAACATCTGGCCTATCCTATACAATGGGGACACCCTGAACCCCAAGTGGCTGTGAGTGAAGCCAGCTCCAGCAGGCTCTGCCCCAGGTGGTGTAGCAAGAGGAGTCAGGGGGGCTGGGGACAGGTTCTGCTGGGCTGGGCAGATCACTAGTGTGAAAAACTGGAGTGGGGGTAAGAGGAGCCTGGGGAGGACGAAGCCCTGAACATCTGGCCTATCCTATACAATGGGGACACCCTGAACCCCAAGTGGCTGTGAGTGAAGCCAGCTCCAGCAGGCTCTGCCCCAGGTGGTGTAGCAAGAGGAGTCAGGGGGGCTCTAAAGAGGGAGGGGCAGGTGAAATCACAGGAAAGACATCTGTGCCCCCCCCCCCCCCCCTCCCTCGGGGGGGG